AAACAACAAAATGAAAGAAAGAACCCTTTCGAATTCAAAGATGCATGCCATCCCATAATATCATAAAAAAATTGCCTGTTAATACACATATGTCTAGAGATGTGGCTTCACCCATCGATGCATGGAAGCTAATATTTGATGACAAAATAATTGAAATGATTGTGAAATGCTCTAATATTTATGTAAAAATATTTCGGGAAATTTTAAAGAGATGCAAAACCTATGGAGAAAGAAGTGCTTCTTGCTTTTTAAGGACTTATGTAAATCCCATTCCCATTATCTATCCTCCCATGTAAATGTTAGAGAATTATGGACGACTGATGGAACAGGATTGGATAGTTTTCGTAAAACAATTAACTATAAGCGTTTTCTTTTCATTCGTGCCTTACGATTTGATGATATCGGGACACGGGATGGCAGACGAAAGAGCGATAAATTAGCTCCAATAAGAGATTTGATAAGAGATTTGTTTGAAAATTTTGTCAAGAATTGTCAGAAATTATATCATATAGGTATATACCTAAGAAAGGTAGGAATTTCTTAGGTATATTCCTAAGAAACCTGCAAGATATGGTATAAAGATACTTACTGTGGTTGATTTTAGAACCTTCTATACTTTCAACATGGAAATTTACTTAGGTCAGACGCCAGATGGGTCATACAAGAAAGTCAACAGTTCTTGTGAAAAAGGAAAGCGCATCCTAGCTCCATTATGCATTTCTGGAAGAAACGTTACCACAGACAGTTGGTATACCAATTTATAAATTGGCCAATTTCTTACAGAAAAATAAAATTTTTATCATTTTAACAATATGCAGGGATAAGAAGATTATCCCATCTGAATTTGTGTCGAATAAGAATAGAGAACAGCATTGAACCCTCTTCGGATTTCAAAAGGATATAATGCTACTTTCTTATATGGCTAAAAAGAGCAAATGTGTCACCCTTTTGTCAACTATGCACAATGATAACCATATTGCGTCATGCGTCATGCGACGGAGGACGTGGGCACCACCCCTCTACCAATACGGTTAATCGGTATAGCGCCACGTCCACCTTTATCTAGATAACCATACGTGTTCATTGTGCTAATATACTAATATATAAACATACAAACATATTTGGTACTTCATACAGTGGCGTTAAAGCTAATTAATGTTAGACACTGGATAATACATTGCCATGTTACAACGTGTATGCAAAAGCATGGATACGGTAGCATATATACATAACGTGTGTACTCATATGTTGAGTACACTATGACCCTTAAATAATTACGCTTAATAACATGACAAAAGAAGCAGTTGATATAGTCGACGAAATGGGCGGCACTTATTCTGTGGCCAGAATATCAAACCGATGATATAATGGGCATATTTTTTTCGCTATTAAATATTGCCGGCATAAATTCAAAGATCTTGCTTTTATCTACTAAAACTCCACCAGAGAAGTTCAGGAATAGGAGGCACTTCTGATTTACCCTTTGCACTTTTAGATCCTCATTTAAAATCACGACAGAAACAGAAGGAATACAACGAAGATTCTCAAACAAAGGAAACCGGAGATGTTGAATGTGCTCACGGGAAAAAGGAAATCAAAAACTATATGTGTGAAGTGTAAAAAAATATGTGTCAAGAACACTGTGAAATAGCAGCTTCATTCAAACTACAAAATATCTAATTCTTCTTGAGCCTAATTGATTTGAAAATTAATTATATAACTCATTGTCCATGTAATAATTCTGCATAATTTGGATTATAATTGCATTCGAAAATAAAAAACACAAATTTCTCATAGAAATCAATGATTCCTAGTCATATGAAGAAAACGTAAGTACTTTTGATTTATTTGTTATTAATTTTAAAATTAACATTATTTTTAAGCAATTTTATAGAAAAAATGTTATAATTAATATAGAATGCATTATTTTACATTATTACATTTGTACGTCATTTAATTGCAACGCGCGTCCTCCCGTGTTAACTATACACCGCTAAATGTTATGGTTAACCTATTTATTTTACTTCTATATGCTATATATCTTATAACTTGACTGTACACCGCTAAAATCATTGCTTCAAGATGTTAAATATCTTGCAACGTAATTATACACCGCTAAAATCATGGCCGATTAGCTGTTGGCGAGCTTGGCGAATAAATTCGCATCGGCGCCAACGGATACGCTGCGGAAGCGCCAACGGATCCTTTCCGGATTTGATGATAACATACCTTTTTTAGAATTTAGTATAGTGATTATAGTTTGAATATATTTTCTATTCATTTAATATACTTATTAATTGTTTTATATGTTAAAATACTTATTGATATAAATTTTATTGTTGTTAGATTGATGTGAAACTCTTGACAGAGTTCAGGTGGGAGTGTGTGGAAATTATTTTGTTTATTGATAGATGGTGCTAGCGTTGCGTGTGAACGCGACGCGACGTGCATTCTGAATTTCCTTAGACTCTCCACGGGCAGTTCGATAGATGGATGTTTGATGCTTCTCTCACTTTAGGAACACTTCGATTCCTGTTTAAAAGATTTCGATTTTCGATTATGAAAGCATATAGATTTGTTTGTCAACTGAACTACCATGTTTTGATTAATGATCTGTAAATATTGTACATATTAAAAGTAATTGATGTCGATTTATAGCAATCTATTTTGAAACAGTTTGAATGCTTGGATACTTCACTTAATTCTTTAAGAGGGCGCTTAAAATATAAAGTGTTGTTTCATGAACCGAAATTTTGGAACCTCGCGAATATGTACGAAGTCCTTGAGGATGATGGTAGAATAAAACTGGGCAAAGAAAACAGAGATCTGACTTCTGTAGAGTAACGAATCAGACCTGCAGGATATACAAACAAAAACTGTAATCATTGAGACGAAATGAAAAAATAAATGAAATCAATCAAACTGTTTTAGAGTGTAAACACTGTTCACTTTTCATTAGAAAATCAACTGCTAATTTTTAACCACGCTGCAAAAGTTTTTTTTAGTGCATCATGCCTGCAGAGTTGTCGCAAAGTGCGATGGTCTTTTCCCGTGTTCCTGTTGTTTGTCAGACTATGATGGGGAGAAAGCAATACGCCTCCTTGGTAGAATTGTTTTTTAAATATAGTTTAAAATAGTTTTTTTCCTGTTTATACTTATCTCCTTGAACTGTAAACCCTCAATTTTGAACCTTGAATTATGTATTTTGCCTTATTTTATGTATAATTTTCACTATTTTGCCTTATTTTATTTCTGTATTATTTTGCTTTTTAGTATTTTACTTTTAGTATTTTTAGTATCGCTATTTAATATTTTGCCCTATTTTAGATATTAATTTTACTATACAGTCTGCTAATTGCTCATTTACTGCACTGTACTCATCTATTGTTCAAGTTTTGGATCCCTTTTGTAACCACCTATCCATAACTCTGGAAATATGTAACTGAAATTGTTCTTCTCATCCGAAATGTACCCTTCTTCCATCACTGCACTATTGTCTCGTCCAGCATTAGTTTGTACTGCCCCCAGCAGTCGTCTTGAGCACAATATGTACCAAAGTGTGTTATGTGGACCAAGTTAATTCCGTCAGCGGGGCTATCTGGCCGATATGCTAACTGCCCCAGTGGATCGGCTGCCTCACTGTCGGTGGAAAGAAAGAAAGTTTAAAATAGTATTTTATGTACTTAAATTCAATAAGCCCCAGAAGGTGAACAGTGGGTCACAAGAGCCCTACATACAAGTCAACCTATGAAATATAAAATGTACACTTAATTCCAGGAAACTGATCATTTTATTGCTTTCCACAGAGTGGTTTGGTTTAGTTTGCTTAATTATGGCAAAGCATTCAAGGGCTATCTGCCTAAGGGAAGGAATGCCTTCGTGAAAGACTTTTAAGGGAAACTGTCTGGTACGTGCATTACACGGAGGGAAAACCGCCAGAACGCTCACGCAGCCAGCTCGTTCGCCGGGATCTGAACCGCGGACCAAACAATCAGTGTTCAGCGATTTTACCGTTCGGCCCCTGATGGGACTGCTTTTCGTACAGAGAGAGACGGAGTGTAACTGAATTACTGCGAATTTGTAGTTTCGCGAAATTCGCCAAAATTGAGATCTGTTGTTCCTCGTCATCAAACATGTAGACTGTTTCATTTTTAAATAAATTTCAGGAGTTTCCCTAAGTTCCCTTTACAGATCACTTTTTTAATTTCAATAATATTCGTATCTCATTGTTTAATTGCATAAGTAAAGCTTATGGAAATGACAGAACTGTTCTCCGGCGGATGCATATGTTTTCTAGCATTTCTACTGTTCTCAGCTTACGTTGACCTTTAGTAAAGTAACACTGTAAATGCAGATTCTCAATTTAGCTACTGATTTCGGTAGTTTGTGAGCAAACTGTGTGAAAATGTTCTTATATACGATTTCATAACGGCAACTGAAACAGCCAGATTTTGCTGGCCGCCCGACTTTTGCCCATTCCTGTACTAGAATACTGATATCCTGCCCGCTTTGGGGAAATAAGCCTAGTGTGTGATAACTTAATCTGCACTTGTACTTAACTATACTTTATTTAATAAATATTTGCTTGAGCAATTATATGAACAATTCACCTTCTCCATTAACGATTTTTAAAATTTTAAGATAACGTCTTAATATATTTTACTATCAAGAAACGTAAAAACGAATGCTTATGAAAACATGCATATAACGTAGGATGTCTGATTTTAAATAAGTTTTAGGTCTATTAAAAGAACCTAAAAATCAAGGAAATCACGGACTAAGATAAATTTGTGAAGCTTTGCTGTAATATATTTTTAAGTAATCACCATCGTGTCTTGGAAAGAGTTAACTGCAGTCTTTATAATATTTGGCACGCATCCAGTAAAATCTACGTCCGAGTCATACACAATAAAAAATAAAATTCAGCAAGTAGAAAACAAGCGGTGTTATGTTTCGCCCTCACTTCTTTGCTTGATAAAAAGACCTATTTTTAGCGCCATCTGTGACCATTTTCTTCCGGATTGTTTCAGCGATTTCAGTACTAACAACGATTGCGTTTGACAGAACATGGAAACCGTTAGTGCCAGTGCCGCTTTGCCATATCTGAGATCTTGTAAAAAGGAATGTGATAAGCCCATTGAAGGAGAACTGAAAGGTAAGTTTCTGAAAAAACTGTTTCTGGTTTTCTGAAAATGAGTTTCTATTCTTTATTTTAAAAGAGTTTTTTTTTTTTTTTTTTTTTTTGTAAGGTATACATTTATATAAAAATATATAAAGCCGATACTTTTAATCTAAAATGTAGCAAAACCGCTAATGGTTGGTGACCAAACGACTGTTTTCTTAATTCAATACATAGAAGAAAGAACGGCTTTAGAAACGTCTTTTACTGATAATTAATAGTGCAAATGCTTTTGAAAATCATCAACTAGATATACTTTTTTATTCTATGAAATAGGTACATCAAAAATAAAATTAAGCAAAGAACTACCTAAAATATGTTATGTTCTTTTCAAAACGATTAGTTTTTTGAGTATTTGCTGTGTGGTATACTTTCATAAAAAAGGCTGTCACAATAATAGCAAAGTTCTCAAAGTTGCTAATTATCTAGACCGCTAGCAAGATTGTGATGCAGCAATGTTACGTTGCAAAGACTCATCGCATTGCCTCGTGCGTGCTTTTGGAATGTTAACGCATCCAGTAATAGCAAGTAGATCCGTAATTCGAATCTCGGAATGGGAATGATTGAATTTTCATGTTTCTTGATCCGAAAACTGTAATAGTCTGTACATTGGAGACAGACATAACATGTAATTGATGATAACTCGTCACGATCTGGTTTGGTCGACTAGATCTCGTGCCTCTTCTCAGTCGCTTTAAAAGTGAATATTGAAGTTCTGTCGTAGGATCTGTGAGATGTAAGTTGTTAGTATATTCATTTAGCAAGTGAAAAATCCATTGTTTGAATTCCGATGTTTCACGTTTCTCTTTCCGAAAACCTGATGAGTTTGTACAACACAGCGTAATAATGCTGCGGTAGCACGATGTAAAAAAATGAAATAATAGAAATTCTAATTTTATTGATGGTAACATAACAAAAATGTCTGTAATACCTAAAAGCGCTTCAAGTGCACTGTGAAAAATGTACGAGTTAATAGCACTAAAAATATGAATAGTATTTTCTTGGTACCATGCGTAGTATAATGAACAGCATCGTTATCCGCGATTAATAGTCATAATTAATATTCATTACTTTTATACGTAATATAATATTTTAACTAAAAGCAGATTAATCAATTATAACATGAAAAGGCATGCATTTCTTATAAACTATGATTTATAACAGTTATTTTTTTTATGAAATCATTTCGAGATCAAAGAAATGTTTCAAACTTTGACCTAATTTTCACAATTATCGATTTACGTGACACACTTAACAGTATTTGGCAAGAAGTAGAGTACTTTAGAAGTTAATTGTTGCTTTATAAAGTATTTTCTCCCTCCTTTCCGCATGCCTTCGGGGAGTAACTGGAAGCATACTCGACGCGTAGACGAGAAGTACAGGGTTTGAGTCTGGGCACTGCACATTTTTCAGTCTCCAGCATCTTTATAGCCTAATGACTACAGTTTTACTGCTACTTTTGACCCTTGGACTCGTTGCCCCGGATAGCTGTCCACCAAAATTGGGGGCGGAACTGAGTGAAGTCGGCCTGTTGCAGCGGCAAGCATAATCTTGCTCTTCTTTTCACGATGAATTTGGTGGGCTTGTTCTGATTACTGTCAGACAAGTGATATAAGTCGTTGTTGTTCTCACTTCGCGGCCTACCAGATTACCGTTATTTGTAGAGAATATTTGCTCAAAGCATTGCGGGGCATTCGTGCAAATTAATTATAATAGCGAATTAACTGCTATCTTCTCACGTCAATTTTGGCCATATGCAGAAATACGCAACAGCGATTCAGAGCGATGTTTCATTTCTTAAGCAGTGCTTTCATAAAAAACATGCTTTTTATTGTTTAGTCATTCCTTAAAATTAGAGATACTATACATTATAGGTGAAGTTATTTTTTTCATAACTGCATCGGCCCACCAGAGGCCGAGCGGTACACTGGTAGTTCGGTCCGATGTTTGAATCCCATCCCGCGAACGGGCTGGCAGCATGGGCGGTTTCGTGTTTTTCCCCATGTGTAACGTTTATACGAGCCAGTTTCCCTTAGAACGCCCTCCACGAAGACATCCCTCTCCTTAGGCAGATAGCCCTCGAGGCTTTGCCATAATCACACACACACACATTACTGTATCGTATCTCGAGAATTAGGCTAAAATGTCAAATGCATTTTATTTTACACATTCGAGAGACAGAAACTATGAAAAATACACTGCAGATATACATTGCAGCGTATGCAGCATATCTTATTATTACTGTACATAGGGTTTTGAGTTATTTGTTGATTAACTTTGTCAAGTCAATCATATATAATTTATTTATTAACATTATCGTAAATAGTCAAATCGTATAATTTATGTATTAATATTGTATTTATGTGTAGTATACCTAAATAATTTATTTTGTGTAGCATTCGATCTTATTTTTCATGTCACTGTGAATCGGATAACTGGGAAAAGTAAGGTACAGTCGTACATCGATTTAAGCGCATCGTTTGATCGTTTAATCGACCCATACAGTAATTTCATTTTAACAAAATCACTTTGATTTAACAAAATCATTATATCCATTTGAGCGTTTCGCTTGATCATTTAATCGATCCATACAGTAATTTCATCTTAACAAAATCGCAAAGTCACTTGAAGCTTTTTATCATAACTTCGTATTTCCAAATTGCTGTGTCACGCGCAAGAGTTCAAATAAGTAATCAGCAATGTTCAAGCGTGTGTGAGATACTAGAGGAAATTATGAATGCTTTTGAAGGTCAAATCATGTAACTTTGTTTTCGGATTGCAACGATGGTGTACGATATTATACATTATCTAATCTTTACCCTAACCTTGAAGTAAAATCGAAGTTCCAAAGGTATCCATCCCCCCGAGGTTCATTATTGTCATTGCTATATTTGCGATAATATGAATCGGATTTCGCTTAACATAAGATAACATTATTTACATTAAAATTATATTGTTAAAGATTGTTGTTATATATCATGATATTCTCAATTAATTACAAAGTACGCAGTACTTTCAATACAAATTTTAAAAGAGTTATTTTCTGGCAAGTAGCACTTTTTCGTTTTTTGCTTTCGAAGCTTGGGAACTACTTGGATCAAGTTATTTGAATATGGCAAAACACACGAGAGCTATCTGCCTAACAGGAGGGATGCCTTTGTGAAGAATATTCTAAGGGAAACAAACTGGTTCGTTTTCATGTAATACATAAGGAAAACCACAGGTACCAGCCAATCCGTCTGTGGGATCGAACCCAGGTTAAACTCCCAGCATTTAGTGGTCTTTAGTCATTGGAAGTTCTTGTCGTTGTTGAGGGAGTGGATTCGTATCTCGATGCAAAGCTCCCCTTCCCCAGTAGATCATACAAAATAGTTTTGTTGTTTTGCATCATTGTACTTTCATGGCAAATTGCAGTCTCCTATAAACCTTATTTCATAAAACAAGGGTTTCCAGAAAAGTTATTATCTCATATTGTCATTACAATTTTCTAACCTAAAGCGATAAATCTATTGTGTCCTTGTCAGGATTCAAACCACGGAACTTTCAGCCAGTCGTTGTAACTACAGCCACGAGAGTGTGTCCGGGAAAATGCTATAATTTTTTTGCAACCTAGTCTGCTACACATTTCCAGTTACATTAAATGAAAACAGTAAATTATAAAAAAAAATTTTTAGTAAATTTGAATTGCTTCTTACGATCTTTCATTGATTGAAAAATATGGTAAGTCGCGAAAATTAAATTCATTTTAATTAATTAGCCTCGCCCACAGACTAAGCTGGATTTCAGCGTCAAATTTAGTCGCGAAGAACCTAAATGTCAACAAATGATCAAGAATTTGTTTCAGCTATTGTTTTCCACAGTTATTCAACTTCTATCAGATCATTCTAGGATAAAATTTTTAAAAAATTAAGAAAAAGAATAAACAATTTACTTACTTAATATTTGGACACAACACCTGTGTTTGTGGTCAACGGATGAAGACTATTGAACACTGATAATTCGATCAGACTTCAATTCTGGCGAACCGAAGATGACAGCAGCGAGTTTTCGTTATTTTTATCCATGTGTGAAATGTTTGAAATGTAAATAAGAATTAGTTTCTCTTAAAAAATCCTTCATGAAGGCGGCTCAGCGGCAGCCGAGCGGTAAAATCACTGAACACTGGTAGTTCGACTCAGGTTCAAATCTCGGGGAACGGGCTCGTTGCATGGGAATTTTCGCGGTTTTCCTCATGTGGATACCAGCCAGTTTCCCATAGAAAGGCCTCCATGAAGGCATCCCATGTCTTAGGTGACAGGTGACAGGTGAATGCAGGGCCCGGACACCCGGACGGCTTAATATGACAAATCGGGTGTCGTCCGGTACCCACACCTATTTAGAACAACACAACCCTGGCGACTTCCTGAGAGGGCTGCATCGGAAATATATTAATGGAGAATATGTGGAATTGACGTGGCCAAACAAGGGCGTGTGCATATATATGCTTCAGTATACAATTAATAAAAAGTTTCATACACAGGTACATTGGTGGTATAGGTACATTGGATACATATGTATATTGGTCTAAGTGGTTAATGAGATAGGCAAACAATAAACACTTATACATTAAAAGAAATGAAACACTGACGCAACTGGCGCAATAATGCAGAAGATGACAATTAATGAATACACGTAATCGTGTGTCATCCTATATGACTATACATAAACTACTAGAAATGATATGCATAAACACATACGAATGATGGCGATAAATGAAAACACATAATCATACATTATTCTACTGGACTATACACACATCAATATAAATGATACATACACACCTATACGTTGACAGAAATGATACACTGAGAATGAAAATTGTGTATCAGTGTGAACGATGACAATTAATGGTTACGCGTATTCGTGTATTACCTTACTTGGCTGTACATATATATTAGTACAAATGATACACTTAAACACTTAAACATTAATGGAAATGAAATACTGAAAATGGCACTTGTACATTATACGATAGATGAAGAATAATGGTAACACGTAATCGTGTATCATTCTAAGTGACTGTACATACAGTAATAGAAATGCTACACTTATACATTAATATACATTTATAACATGGTAAATGATGCATTTATACATTAATAGAAATAGTACACTGACAATGAAATTTTCACATTAATACGAAAGATGACAATTAATGATAACACATAATCATGTATTATCCTACTGCGCTATGAGTACATGAATAGAAATAAGACATTTTAAACCCTGTAAGTTGACAGAAATGTTGCACTGAGTGTAATGCTTGTGCATCATTGCAAGAGATGACAATTAATATTTACACATAATCGCGTATCGTCCTACGTGGCTATACATACATTAGTAGAAGTGCTACACTTAAACATTAATACTAGAAACGACACACTGAAGATGTTACTTGTGGATAAATATGAAAGATGGACGATTAATAAAAATACATGAACATAAATTATCCTACATGGCTATGTATACATTATTAGAAATGAAACCTTTAACACCTATACATTAATAAAACTGATACACTGAATTGTGTATTAATGCGAAAAATGACAATTAATGATTATACATACTCGTGTGTTATCCTACATGGCAATATAGACATTAGTAGAAATGATACGCTTAAACACTGATACATTACTACAGAAGATGCACTGAAAATGGTACTTGTACAGTAAAACGATATATGACGATTAGTCATAACACATAATCCTGTGTTATTCTACATGGCTTTACATACATAGACAGGGATGGTACACTTAAACGAATGATGTATGTGCATTTGATACAAAAGTGCGTTGATCTAGATAGTTAAAACTTAAAGTAATGGTATGCAACAATTATTGGATGATGCACTGGTGATTAATGAAATAATGAATGACAATTAATAACATAGGTAAGAATGAAGTGACAATTAATGAAGGCACGATACATAAGCACATTGCCATAGGTACATTGGATATAAAGGCTTGGTTATGTGGAAAGGATAGAGTTGTGGTTAAGCCGAATCACACAAGTCCTGGCCTAATGCTTGCAGTCTGTCCATAATACTTTTGAGTTTTTTTAAGTACTACTGGTTGGCGAATAAAGAATCTTTTATAGGCTGGATCTGTGTTGTAAAACGGCATGTGCCACTCTCGTGTTAGTGGGCAGAAGGTGACATAATTGGTCCGGGCTACCTGGCTGGCCACACACACAGATGTTGGTGTTTGTTATTCTTCACTCTAGAAAATATTCGGGGAATGGACCATGACCCGCTGAATGCGCCCTATGATTTGCTGAATGCGCCCTATGATAAACGACCTGTGAAAAGGATTCCGAATTGCATGCAGATATCCGCCATAATGAAACAAACCAAACCTAATCTCCATGAAGGCACCCTAATCTTTGGCAATTAGGGCCCTAATGTACTTTGCCGTTATTAATTAAATGAACAAACAGGTACCTTCGATGTTTCTATAACCGACGGATCTTCAGCTATGCAACTAATAAATAATTTCAGCTGTTTTTTCGTTTCGGATGTCAACTGACTGTTGTAGACTAGAAGTTTATACGCTCCCTTTGTTAAAATTTAGCATTTGAAGTTTCTCCTTCCATAAATAAATTTCGTTAATTCTTCTGTTTTGCAGGTGAAATTCCGAAATGGCTGAGAGGCTGCCTCATCCGCGTTGGCTCAGGCTTACTGGAAGTAGGCGAAGACAAATTTAATCATATTTTCGACGGTTTAGCTTTAATGCACCGGTTCGCTTTTCAAGATGGACGAGTCACCTACCAGAGTCGGTTCCTGAGAAGTGATTCTTATTGCAAGGATATGAAAGCGAACAGAATCGTGCAATCCGAATTCGCTACACGTGGAATACCTGATCCCTGTAAGACGATATTCCAGAGGTACGTATAGCTTATTTTTTCCTTTATTGCCTTTATTTATAGCCTGAAGTTTATTTAATGGCAGCAGTTAAGATTGACCATTGGTTGGCTGATTGATTCACTGGATGGTAATCAACGAGCTCATCTCTGATTCCCGTTACGCATCGCAGTGAGCACATACGAAAACACAGCTCGCATTACAAATTTACGACTGACAGATATCGCAGGTATTTGGGAAAAAAGAACTCAATCTCGCAACCATCAAAGGGTTAACTCGTAATCTTTACATATTGAACTTCATCAATATTTTATTATTTTCTACTCTATTGCTATCAGTTTAAATTAAATATATAACAGAAAAACTACATATAATTTTTTTTTGTATTCTTACTCATATTTGGAACCTCATACACATATAATGAGGCACACTAAGGTGTAATAATGTGGCGTTAAATACTGAGGTGTTGATTCATAATGGAGAGCAAATATGGCAGCCGACGCAAATTAAATATTCCTTTTTTTTATTTCAGTTGACGTTTACGGCAACAAATACTTAGTACATTAATCGTGCTTGTTTCAGAACAGTTATATTTCTTTTATACCGTTTTGCGGAAGAAGGGAAAGCAGCAAGCAGCAGTCTTTGCGGCAATAGAGGTAGAAGCAAAGTACCTTGTGTTGAGGATGAAATCTTAAAAAAATACAGAATGAGTTAGTTTCGGTTTCGTTGCATTTGATTGGATAATTACTAATGCTGTAAAATTATTATTGCCTGTTTGAGTTTTAGTTCCGTTTACGTTACCAGTGGTATGTGAAAATTATATGATAATGTATTTTTTTTATAATTTACTGTTTTCATTTAATGTAACTGGAAATGTGTAGCAGACTAGGTTGCAAAAAAATTATAGCATTTTCCCAGACACACTCTCGTGGCTGTAGTTACAACGACTGGCTGAAAGTTCCGTGGTTTGAATCCTGACAAGGACACAATTGATTTATCGCTTTAGGTTAGAAAATTGTAATGACAATATGAGATAATAACTTTTCTGGAAACCCTTGTTTTATGAAATAAGGTTTATAGGTCTCTTTTACACCTTTCATGTGAAGGTATTTGAAAGCAATCAGTTTAAAAGTTTTTTGTAATAAAAAATTAATGCTAATAAAGTTAAAGTCTCTAAGGTGATTAACTACCATTCGAGACCATTTTTATCTGGTGTAGAGATGGTCACCTTAGAAAGGGAATGTTCAAAAATAAAAATGAAAATACTGCTCACATTCAACGCTTGACAGCGTGTGGAGATGGTCACCACCAAAGGTTTAATTTTGATTTTTCATTGGAAAAAAAGGTTCATAAAGGTTTTGAACTATGCATCTATTTATCTATTACCTGAAAGGATTGTAATACAATAAATAAATGTAACAAAAAAATCTTAACTAGAAACACCTTATATTAATTAAAATAATAATGCAGTAGCTCGTTAAAATTATCATTTGGTCGCGTCACAAATTAAATATATTTAAGATTATATCATTTAGATGGACAATTAATATAAAGCTAAACTGAAGATGAACGTTAAGGCGGCTGGTCACCAAGACTTGGTGTAAATTTAAACGAATTATTTAATTTAAACCGAAGATGTAGCCCTAGACTTAGATGATCACCAGTGATCATCTAAGTCTAGGGCTCCCGCGGGATGGGTATGGACCTTCTGGGTCTCTCATCCGTCTCTCAAAAGCAATTTCAAAAGCAAAAGAATTGTTAGCGTTTAAAATTACTTGCGATGAAATCTACCCCGTTATTTATTATTTTTTTCATTTGAGGAATTATGCATATTTTTCTCCCTGTTTCATTTTAAAATCCGATTTTGTTTTGTATAATATTCATTAATAATATTATACACCACATCTTCATTGTGGTGTATAATATTATTATTTCTGAGGAGCGGGGGAACTTTAAAATTTTAACATCTAAAAATGTATCGTTTATAAAGATTCAAGATTTCCATTTCATAGTTTACTTTCTGTATAATTTGTTCTTTCAACCAAATGTCAAATACTTCCTGATAAGCTTCAGGTTTGCTTAAATAATTTAAGTGATAATCCTTTTGTCTCCGAAGTGATAATCCTTTTGTCTCCGTAGTGATAATCCTTTTGTCTCCGTAGTGATAATCCTTTTGTCTATTAATTCTTTTTTAATGTATAAGAGACAATGATCTAAGATCCAAGGTAAGGAAATTTCACGCCTTTCACATCTGAAACTATATTTATGGTATTTTTAAAGCACTTTACAGGCCCTTCATGTACTTCAGTTTTAGTATTAAAGTGCATCTCAAGCGTGTTTGCACCGCAGCTGGAAACACATTTTAAGAATTTAACTTGCCCAGCAGGCAATTAAGGAATATGATCAAGTATTTACGTTCGTGCATTCGGCAGCGGTTTGTATTTTAAGAATTATATCAGTGGACTCACAAAATAAGTCACTTTACAAGACCTGTAAAGTTTTTTAAAATTTGATTACAAAGGCACCCCTCCCCAATCTTTGTTTGTAAGAATTGTAAGTAAATTCCTTTTTAGCCGACATATTTAAACTCGCCGGGCCACAAACGGCCCGTGGGCTTTAATGTGAATATGGATGATCTAGTGGTTAGTGAAGACTGGCTGCTAGTCAGAACACCTGTGTATGGGTTTGAAACCTGTGTAAAAGACTCTTTGTGCTCTCCTCACCTTTTGATGAAATTTGAAGATGCAGTATCAATCTCCTACTCTGATGAGACGGCTAGATAACTGATTGGTTTGGTCATTGCCCGCGAATTCATTAAGCTGCGAGTATCCAACAATTTAGTTTAAGGAAAGCAGAAAAAAATTGTTGTTTATTATCTTTATTATTATTATTATTATTAGTTCAAAGGGGCAATTTGCTCAGATGGACTATTAATTTCGATTTGGCATTTTGCATCGATTCACGATAAGCGTTGTTTCACTTTTCAAATTGCTGCCACCAATATTATCGCCCTGTATTATATTTAAAAGAATTAAATAATGAAAACCTGCTAAATGTATGTATGTTTCTCGCACTGTGATAACCTAGAGCCATCCAGTTTTGAATAGCGTACGTTTCCACCCGAATATGCGCATCTGAAATCTCAAATTTGGAATTTAGAATTTGTTTTATTATCTATTTTATATTTTGTAAAAGTGTAACGAATTTTTGATTAACAAACTCATGGACTTCAAAGCGAGCAATGGCAACACTGTACAGGAAAGAGAATATTTTTATCTCCAACGCGTGCGAGACTGTGTATCTGAAATTCTAAAGATGTGCTCATTTGAGTATTATTTTGCGATATTGCTGTTGAACTGAATTTTATGGTTTGAGTACGTAGAACGTGATATTTAATAAATAAAGGTAACACACAAAAAGTTAAAAAAAAATAAAAAAAAAAAGCCGCTTTGATGGTAATTTAAAATCTGAAACCTTTCAGATTTCATTATTATTATTTTAAAAAAGACAGATTTTCCCTTTCCATCCTGCACTTTTTAGTGGTTAGCACATTTTATATTGCCAGAGTCTGTGATTTTACAGTATAGTTTACTATTTTTAATCAAGTCTAAATAGATCGATGAATTTTTTTAAATCATTCTTATCTTTTTAGAAAAGATGAAAAAATAATTCTTGATAAAAAAGAACAAAATAAATTGCGTCCTTTCCTTCCAGTTTTCAAAGCTTAAAAACACCAAGTTATAATGCAGAATGTAACGTTTTTTGTAAATTGCTTAATGATTCCTGATTGCGTTCACTTCACTTAACGAACTGAATATATGAGATATATTTACCAAACGTGCAATCCTGCCTTATTTTTTAAAGCAAATTAATTTATTTTGTAACGTTAAGCTTAATATAATTATCTAACGATAATTTGATTCCTTACTTAATTCGAAGAATTTGCATTAAAAAGTATATAAAAGTATAGAATATTCATTAAAAGTATATCTTGTCGTAGATTAACAAATACTAGCCGCCTGTATTTGAGGAATTTCAGTAACTCAATCATTTAAATAAATTCAACATACCGCCTAACGTTTAGCTTCTAAGTAACTGTTTCTAATTAATGGATATATCCGTTGTCACACATACAAAATTTACTCATCTACAGATCGACTAAGTGGATGGTTTTTTTTATCTCAGAATAATGTGCTGTACTGAGTGGCTGCCACAATATTCTCTGTAAGTTCAATTTTTTTTCAAAGTAGTTTTTATTTTGGTGAAGGTTATCGAAAGAAAAGAAAGTCCATAGAAGAATTAACATAAAAAGGGTTGTTTAAAAGTTTAAAATAAGCTTTAATGGTTTTATGCACTAAGCTGAAATTTGAGGGATCAGATCGCAAATCTTTTGCCTTTCACTTTTCCTCGTTTCAGTAATTTTGAGTTTGACAATAACTGGTTAAATCATTTTATAGGTTTGCAAGTCTGTTCAATTTGGAGGAAACGACTGATAATGATCTCGTCAATATAATTCTGTTCAGTGACGAAGCATATGCGTGTTCAGAAACTAACAACATATGGAAGATAAATCCAGACACACTGGAATCCTTGAAAAAGGTAACGTGAAAGTAATTTTAGTTATAGATATGAACGAAAAACGTTTAATTATAGATATGAAGCTTAGAAATATTTTCATTCTATGAGAAATGATTGTTGTATTGCAATAAAATTTGTTTTGTATGAAAAGCGAATATTAACGTACACTAAAATGTACCAGTTACATAAATACTACATAAAGAGCATATAACTATTAACGTAAATATAAATATATCACTTTCAAGTACTGTTCGTCATGTATTTTTCTATTCAAATATTGATGTTCACCAGTTCACCATGCAGGGGGGAGAGGAATTTAAAAAAAAAAAAAAAGAAAAAAAGAAAAAAGAAAGAAAGAAAGTAAAGCTTGACGCTTGAACAACGCGTATCTTAGCGCATGACTGCAATTCTTCACTTCCTCCCTTTTGTAATAAACAGTTTTATAAACTTATATATTAGAAACAGTGTTAAAGCTTTGAGTTTTGAAAATCTCCCAAAAACTCGCGAGTGGATAGTGTAGGTTGAAAATTTCGACTCTATAAGAAAAAGTTGTGTATGTTGTCGTATGTTATGGATTTGGTAGAGATCTTCGTAAATGACTAGGCCAGATTAACTGGTAGATTCGAAACCTTACAGCAATAAATAGCAGCTGTTACGGTTAAGAAAGATAACTATAAATAGCCCACAGAAAAAAATAGAAATAAGGCAAAATTCTGTATAATACGCGAGGTTTATCGCAGAGCACGAAATTCGTCAGCAAAGCAAAGTATGAAGCAATAAGCACCGAAAGAAACTTTAGCATTCTAATGCATATAAGAATCTTAATTAAACTGACTTATTGCTATGTCTGTGTCTTATCACTTAGTAAGAGGCAATCGACCATTAACGGCCTTTACCAATATATTATACTTGACTCTTAAATGCTTGAAGAATCGAATAAGTTGTATCCAATAATATGGAAGTGCTTGTACACATGCTGTGCTAGAACTCAGAGATTATTAAGGATGAAAAACATTTTGACTGGAGCTCTGGTGGCGCCATCTCTTGCAGGATGTATTGTAAGGCATTTTTAAAATTTCATAAATTTATTCTTCTGATAAGCAATAACTGGAAAATAAAATTACAATTTGCAGTATATTGAAACGTTTCGCAAGAGTAAAAACTATTTACACACAAAGTCTACTTGCTTTAGCAGAAGCAAAGTCCATAGCGCTTTGTAATTTGATAAGTAAAGTAAAGAAAATGAAGTAAAATCTTGGCTAAATAAGAAGAAAACGAAAATGTACACATTACCACCGACTATTATTACTGACTTATTGCTGTTCACAGCCTCTTATTTATAGGTCCCATAGAAGCTTCTTTCTGCCCCCCCCCTTCCGCCATCGACAAAACATCCGGTCCACTGAGTAATGCGCTCATCAATCTGTCAGGTACGGGACTTGACAAAATCAGGAACACTGAAAGAACAACCGAAATAAGGCATGAAAGTACATGGTGAGGGCAAGGACTAAGTGAAGAATGCTGCTGACGACTTATCTTGAGAATTGAAAAGTTACCGTTAACTGCAAGGCAATTTTTTAAATTAAACTATGACGTTGTCCGCTTATGCACACAATTGTAATGTATATCAACATTTATCCAATAAAATTAATTCCTGCTGTTGCTTCAAATATACGTTTTTTAAAAACTTCCGTAATTTCGTCAGATTGGCGAGAGATCGCCAAATATCGTCAGTTTGATAGCACATATTGACACTAAGGTGCTGTAAGAGGATTAGGCCAATGGCTCTCAACGGAGTCGGTATTGACCTTTTGGGAGTCGATGAAATTTTAAATGGGGGGTTTATGATGATCAAGAAATCGATCACCGATATTCGCTGGCAAGTGATCGGCATTATCAGTATCTAGTAACTATGAAAAAATTCTGAATAAGATAAGTAATTAATTGTTTATTGATATTAATTTGTATCACACAGTGAGAAAGAAAGGAATATAAACTATGTATAAGGAGCAAAATGCATTAAAATTGTTTTATCTATTTTAAAAATTAATGATTTAAAAATATTAAATATTTTAGGCAATATACAATATAAAAAAGTGAAGCACAAGAAAACACAATAAAAAATACGAAGAACTAGAATGGAGAACAAGAAGCGTTCAATATTTTCGAACCAGGCAATTTTTTAAATTAAACAAAGCAGTTTTATGCCAGACATTTAAAACACTACATGAATACAACATTCGCAGCCATGACATTAATTAAAATCGAGCTTTTGTGCAACTAGAATCTGTGATTTTGTTTTTGGAAACTTGTTTGTATTAAAAAATTTTTAAATAATAATAATACCCAAAAAAATCTGTACGCTTTCTGATTTTATGTTACACCCAAATGGGCATTTTTTTTTTTTTTTTTTTTTCATTTACGTGCACGTTTTGAGAGCATTTGGGCTCATGTTTCTTTGGGCTAAAAATATTTAAAAACAGCCTATCTTTAAAATTTCCGATAGCAGTCTCGCGAGCTGGAAATAAAAATGTTTTGTTTTTTTCGTACAGTGTTGCCATTGCTCGCTATGAAATCGTTGAGCTTGTTAATCAAAAATTCTTTAAATTTTTTGCTCGCTTTGAAATCATTGAGTTTGTTAATAAAAAAGTCGTTAAAGTCTTAGAAAATATTAAATACACAATAAAACAAATTGTAAATTCAATATTCGGTCTTCCAGGTGTCCATATGGGTGGAAGACTACGTTATTCAGAATTCGATAGCTCTAGGTTTTCTCACAATGAGAAATTATGCGTACATTCATGCAAAATTGTCATTATTTAATTTCTTTAAATATAATACACGGCAGCAGTACTTTTCAGAATATTAGTTCTTTCACCAAAATGGAGTATGAATGAATGAGTTACACGATGAAATGAATTGTGCGATGAACAAAAGCGTAAAAGGCTGCATTTTTTTATATGGAGGATTAGAGCTTGATTGTGTACGCAAGGAGAGAGTAAACAGTTTACGAAAAGCCTTGCATGAAATTTATTATGAGATTTTGTTGACAGGACGTGTATGAAGGGAAGATAGTGGAACTTTTGGTGGAAGTAACTAAAGTGAACTTGAAACTTGTGGGATTTGACATCTTTCGAAAATCAAATGTATATTTTTCCGTAACAATTAAATTACCACAAATTAAAACGCTTAAAAAATCAATTAGTAATGAAAACATATAAATACAAATTGTAATTTATAAAACTGTTATAATGAATGCATATCACTTTTACTCCTTATGTAACAGTTCCAATCAATTCAGATACAGCATTTATGCTTCTAACTTTCAGGTGACTCTAAGCAGACATGTCCCAGTCAATGTTGCTATTGCACATGCGCTCGAAGACACAGATGGAACAGTTTACAACGTTGGGAGTAGTTTTGGAATGAATTGTACTTATTCCGTACTTAAATTTCCTCCTAAAGGTAATTCTTATACGGTCCCATTTAGTCATAAGAAACTGCTGCTGAAGACTAAAATTTTCTTATTTTAATTTTGCTCTTGAAATAAGAGAAATAAATTTTATTCTTTATATTTTTAATTGGTGATCAATAACTTGTTAAAGAAATAGATTTAAAAGGAAATTGAAAAAGGTGAGAAGAAAGTGTACTTCAACATACATATTAATTACATTAATATGTTTTTTTAAAGTTTCTTTAAAATAGACCTCCCTGGTTAGCTTCAGAATGTTAACCACAGAACTGTTTAGATGATTTTCATGGAGTTTATTGTGTTAAAACAATATGTAATAAATTTTCGAAATGTATATAGTAAATCCAGATTTAATTTTAAAATAGTCGGAAGAATCAATTAATTCATTTTGGATTAACATTAGATGAAATTATCCCATGATGGCCAAAAAAGCTTTAAAATAATTATTACAGTTTTCTACATCTTATTTGTGTCAATTCGAATTTTCAGTATTAATCAACATGAAAACGAAAAAAAGATCCGATACTTAGATATAGAAAACGATATGAGAGTAGCATTGTCATTTTTACGACCGAATATAAATGAAATTATAAAAAACATCAAGCTCAAATTTCTTATTAAAAGTATTCTTATTGTTAACTTGTAATTAGTCCCATAATGTAAATATTTACTTTACTGCTGTTTTTGTAGTGCATATTTTATTTTTATTTTACATTTTTATTCACAAATTTATTATGATAAACTCTTTTACCCAGTGCTTTTTCTCTGTGTGCCGCCAAATTTTGAAATCGTTAAAAGTGTGCCGCGACAAAAAAAAAAAAAAAAGGTTCAGAATCACTGGACTAGAGTATTTATTTGTTAGGATACCAAATTCGTACATTTTGAACCATATCTCTCTTTTATATATTAAAAACATATTTTTATGAGACATTTATCAGTTATCATGTATCAAGACATTTATTATTTGTTGGGAATTTCCATATTAAAACAGTATTGATTCCTCTACAGCAAGGATGTCAAACTCGCGGCCCACAACAATATTTTGCGGCCTGGCCAATATATCGGCAAATAAATATATAATAATAAAATAACATATCGACGAAGAAAAAATGAAATGTTTACTGCTAAGTAATTAACGATAATTTATTCCGTGTTGTTAGATTACTCACAGCGAGTTGACACCACACTACTTAAATTACAAATGCGTGTGAGTAGCTTGCGTTTCAGCTACCTTCGGCTTTTGGGGGACACGTGCACTCAGAACTTGTACGCATCCCCGATAGCCGAATGTGGCCGAACTCATCGTCAGTTTTCCAATCATAGTTTTGTACGATAAATTGGTGCATGCATGTGCATGCAGTTGTTTATTATTAATTATTACTTAATTCATATTGTTACTGATTTCAAGTTATTTATTTAGTTAGTTTTTTTTTTATTTAGAATTGAATTAGATTGCTTCATGTTGCCTTAGCAACGCAGACATTTTGAAAAGACAGCTGCGTTGGAAGGTTAAAAATAGAAACAGCGCGTGCATTTAATACCTAATAAATAAATATCTCGTAATTGCTGTTGCCATCCACAAAAATCCAGATATTTATGATGTTTTCCAGTATGTTCGAGAAATTAATTCTAAGCTTATAAAGCCGAGAACAAACAACTCATCTCAGTAGTAGCTGTAGTTCTAGAGAACTGTTTGTTTACTTAATGCTGTGATTGATTTGTACCGATTTCGCTGTGAGATAGAATTAGTTTCTCTGTTTTGAATTGATTTTTGCTAAACGTTTGACATTTTGTGATATGGTTAGAATATTTTGAAGAAATATTTCAGCATTTTGATTTATCTCTTGTGGAAGAATAATTTTTTTAACTTTTTAACTCAACCGTGTTTATTCCAGCCCTTTGTATTCAGTATGTCTATATCAAACCAGTGGTAGTAAAATTAACGAAAATCGCTGACGAACATAGAATATTCCAAGTAAAATGGGAATTAGAATATTTTTGCTGTGAATAAAGATAAAATAATCTGCTTGATATGTAATAATACTATTAATGTACCAAAGTTATATAATATTAAACGTCATTACGACAACACCAAATCGAATATAACATTACGAGGATTATGAGAGAAGAAAAGTTGAAGAGCTCAAGTTAGGAGTGAAAAAGCAACAGTCCATGTTTGTAAAGTATTACAATAAAGTGAAACGGCGGTACATGCAAGCTACGTCTTGTCCGATTGATAGCTAAACATTCGAACCTTTTACTGACGGTGAATTCATCAAGGAATGCCTAATGAGCTGGAGAAATTGTTTTCCTGGAATGTGAAGGCTTTCAATCAATTTCATTGTCTCGAAATACAGTTGCGGAACAGTTACTGATTTAGCCGAATTTAAGTGATCAGATCAAAGCAAATTCATCTAGTTTCGAAAGTTTCTCCATTGCTTGTGACGAGAGCACGGACATTAGTGGCAAAGCTCATTAGCAGTGTTTCTTCGTTCTTGTGACAAAATTTAACATTTTTGAGAATTACTGGAACTAATACCGATGCCTGGTACTACACAGGAGAACATATATTTGTTTTTTAGGACTTCTGCAGAAATACAATCTACCTTTGGCAAAATTAAATTCTGTAGCTACAGATGGCGCTCCATCAATGACCGGGAAAACAAGAGCTTCGTAGCATTACAAGAAAAAAACTTAGTGAATTTCACGTTCAAACATTCATCATATGCATTGTATTATACATCAAAGTTCTATGCACGAAAGTAATAAATATGGAGAATGTTTTGTCATATATAAAAAAAAAAGTTATAAATTTTATAAGATCTCGAGTTTAAATCAGCGTCAATTCACTGCTTTCTTAAGTGAGTTAGATAGTGAATATTCGAGTTTGTCCTACTATACCGAGTTACGTGGTTATCTTGCTCCAAGATTCTCAAAACAATTCTGGGATTTGAAAGAAGAAATATGTCAGTTTTTAAAAACGAAAAATCAAGACGTAAATTGTTTTACGATCCAATATGGATGCAAGATTTTCTTTCTTGGTTGATATAACCAAACACTTACCGATTAAATCTATCGTTACAAGGAAAAGATCATATCATTACGAACATGTTTGACATAATTAAAGCATTCACATGTCAACTAGTTCTTTGGAAAAACAACTTAAAATGAAGATTTGACGCACTTCCCACGTGCAGCATGAACAATCAAGTTTATATGATACTTGTTCATATCAAAAATACGCAGAAAAAATTGCAAATTTAACAACTGAATTTGAAACGAGTTTAATGATTTTAGTTCACTCGAAGACAATTTTTTTTTTTCCTTCGATTTTTCTCAATAAGTATTGACTCAGTACCCAGCCATATGCAATGGAGGTGATCGAGATTCAGTGCAACTCAAATTTGAAAGCAAAATTCATTGAAGTGGCGTGCCTGAATTTTAAATATTTACCAGCCGGTTTGAAAATACTCGAAAATTCGCATATGAATTATTTCCATGTTTGGTAGCACTTATCGGTGCGAGCATTATTTTCAGTCATGAAAGTAATAAGTCTCCTTAGAAACCGTATTAATGATGGTCACCTTGGGTCAGCGTTGAAAGTTATCACTGCAAACAAAATTCTCCGAAATAGGAAAGATAAGGCAAGAAGAGATGTCAAGTATCAGGACGTAAACTTAATTTTTCTTGTTCTTTTCTATATAAATATATATATATATATTTTTTATTGTATTATCGAAATAAACTACGTTTCTATGAATATTAATTTTTTTTTTTTTTTTTTTTTTTTTTTTTTTTTTTGCGGCCCCCTAAAGTTAAACCTTGTTTGTTTGGCCCAAGTGTACCTATGAGTTTGACATCCCTGATCTACAGTAAACGTACGACTATCCGGTATTTAAACTAATCAAAATATTTTTAAAAGGTTAGAAATTTTGCAAAGAAAGTTAAGCAACTGAATGATGTACGTGATTACGACACGATAACATCTCCTACGACTCCGAGAACATCTCAAATGTAAATACAATTACATGATTGTCTTTCAGATGCTGAATATAACTCTCAAACTGTTAAATACATCGTATTGTTCAAAGAATTCGAACTTGGAACTGGACCTTTCTGTTAGAAAGAGAGGTGTGGAGTTAGTATGTAAAGACCTTATTTTATTGTAACCAATTACTTTTATTTTAAGAAATTTTCCTTTCCTTTCTGATTTCAGTGTCCTTCCAGAATGCAAATTTAAATGACGTATATGAAAATCCAGATGAGTTTGGTA